AAAAAAAAAAAATCAATAAAATAATAATTTATAAAATAAATAAAAAGGATAATCACGTGGCCCTGGCCGGTGTGGCTCAGTGGATAGAGAGGCGAATTGAAGGCGCAGGAACATGAGCACAGGTTGTGGGCTAGATCTCCAGTGGGGGGCTTGTGGGAGGCAGCTGATTGATGATTCTCTCATCATTGATGTTTCTATCTCTCTCCCTTCCTCTCTGAAATCAATAAAAAATACATTTAAATAAATAAATAAATGGATAATCACAACCCTGTGAACAATGTTGAAATTTCTAGTTTTCCAAGATTTTTTAAGTTTGAAATTTTACAATACAAGTTATTAAAGTTGTAACACTTAAAAATCCTGCCTACCTTATTTCTATTTCAGGACTGTTCGTATTTGAGGTTTTTCTTTGACAAAATAAAAAGGATGGAATTACTTCCAATATAAAAAGAGTGGAAACAAAATACTTCAGAATCATGTTTTGCATATAAGGTTTCATATTATTTTTAGACCAGGTCTGATAAAATTTCTAATTGGTAGCACTGTCTAAGTCATGGTTTATGGTGCAGGAATGCATTTACCAGTCCGCAGATACTAAATTTCTAAACGTTTTAGACTCTGAGGGGTTGACTTGCTGACAGTTTTCTCACCAGTAGGTTGGAAACATTCTGTCAAATCCCTAAGTGCTGGAGAGAATGAAATAAATAATAAAGCAGTTTCATATCCTACATTAATTATAATTAATTATAATTTTACATTAATTATAGTTTTTCTTGCTATCACATGGTTCCTCATTTTCCTTTATATATTTTCACTAATTTCAGAAAGGAAGAGGGAGAGCGAGAAACATCAATGAGAATCATTGACTGGCTGCTTCCTGCATGTCCGCCTCTGGGGACTGAGCTTGCAACCCGGCCACATGCCCTGAAAAGAAATCAACTCAGGACCCTTCAGTACACAGGTCAACGCTCTACCCACTGAACCAACTGGCTAGGGCTGGCTCCTCATTTTGAGCTATTTTTCTCCAGAGGAAACTGGTATGGACTGGAAAGAAGAAAAATTAAAAGGATTTCTTGGTGTTGAGCTGCTAGAGTAAACTTGCAGGTTGCTGATAGGAACACAATTCTCCCTCATTTCTGCCCCTTAACTTTTCCCATTTTACCTAAAAGAGCTTCTGATGACTGACTTTTCCCATCTTTAAGAGATATTCAATTATTAACCAATCTGACTTGAGTAAATTCAATTAAGGAGTAAAAACATTTTAAATAATTACTTTCAGTTCACTTTTTAACCTTTCTCGCCCAGATTATTGAAATAGATTCTATTTTTGCCAGCAAATAATAAATTCCAAAGGGGTAAATTTACATTAGAAATTATATACCATCCACAAAATTGGGCTGGGATATAGGAGGAAAATGTGCAAAAAAAAAAGTCTTCTATAGATCAATTGTTACTAAGAAAGTCACTGGTCAGACCATTAGTATGATGCATTGTACAAAAATAGGAAAGCCATATAGTAGTAGTAGTGGAATATTTAACTTATTGCACAACTTTTTTTTTTTAATGTATTTTTATTGATATCAGAGAGGAAGGGAGAGATAGAAACATCAATGAGAGAATCAATTGGCTGCCTCCTGCACGCCACATACTGGGGATCAAGGCCGCAAACAGCGCATGTGCCCTTGACCAGAATCAAACCTGGGACCCTTCACTCCACAGGCTGACACTCTACTATCACTGAGCCAAACAACGCAGGGCTTGCACAACATTTTATAAAGCACTCCAACACTGAAAATGAGTCTGGAGTCAAATATTGTTGAGACACATAGAGACCACTAGATGCTAATTTGTGGTCTTGTGATCATATCTATTACTAAAAACTGAATTTTGCCTCTCAGAACAAATAAAAGCTCTTGATTCCTTTTGGTATAATTCCATAAAGAATTTCAGAAACACAATATTAAAAGACAAGAAGACAGGTGAGCAAGATGACTGCTATTCTTAAGTGAGCCGGGCGTATTTGTATCAGGGATTGGGGAATGGAGGACAGAGAAAGGGGAGAATCAAGAGAAAAGGATAAAATGTGTAAAAAGAATTAAAGTGCATTTAGTGACACTGCTATCTTGTTAAATGAGAAAAAGAAAATAGCAGGCAGAGTTTATGGTCAGATTATAACTTGATATCCAGCCAGCTAGAGAAGAAACCAAATTACTTTCTAATACTGTTATCTCTAATAATGCAAATGTTCCTGACAGCTATGGGGTGAGGGGAGAGAAGAAGAATGCGTCTAATAACAGCAGATAGGAGCAGAATTTCTATTTTTAGAACAACCAGGTTTATGCTGTAAAGCAAGTTTCCAAAGTTGCACTGAAACAGGCATGGGTTAAACCAGCTAATATGTTTAACATCTGATAAAGTTCCTAACCTTGGACTAAGTTTTCCTTTGCTTTACTCGAGGGGACAAATAGCTGCACAAGCTAGAAAGAAACCTGTGACCCAGGCAGGATCACGGATATCACAGAAAGGATGGGAAAGGAGGAGAGCCAACTAAGGGAAAATGTGTTGGACCTTTAAAACTAGAAATACTAACCTTGCAGACTACCACAAGAGAAACGTACTGCGGGACCCTCAAGGCAGTGACAATTAGAGCAAACTAAGGAATACCTTTGGATTACCTGAAGGAATAAGACACAGGTCTTTTGAAACAAATAATGGTATTTGACTGGGTAGCCATAAGAAGCAGGGTCTGAGAAAACCTCATTCAGATACTAGAATGACGAGAATTAAAATTTGTAGAGTTTAATGTGGACAAAAAGGGTGAAGCGGTGGATATAAGACATTTTCACCATGTCCAAAATTAACCAAGGAAATGGGTCTCTATTTTATACGCGAAAGATGCCGATTAATCTCATTACATGATAAGAAACCACACACTGAGCTTCTGATAAAGCTCATATCTTCTTTCTGAATTCCATGCCAGAGCAACGGATGGCATCATTTCCTGAACCTATTAGAAGACAGCTCACCATGGAGCATAATTTGATTTGGATAAATCCAGACTCTTAGGAATCAGAGAACCGATTTTTATCACTTGGGGGATACCGTTGACGTTGGAGTTACAAGTACAATACATTTACTGGCAAGGTTAGTAGCTGTGCACAATAAGAAAGTATTCTAATGTGTAGACAGCCGCGTTAAAATGGCCTATGCTGGGACTGAATCGTGGGGCAAACTAGGCAAGACATATAGATAGGCTGTATGTACAACTATGGTTAAATAGTATATACAACAGAAATATTATATATACTTCCCCCGATTATCTTATCCATTCAATCGTTTAACTTCTTATAAATGCCTACCACTTGTTCCAGGGGGAATAAAAACCTGTACTGTGTAAGTACTTGATATTTACTGAAATAGCAGACAAGACTATTGCCACACTTTATAAGATGTGTTAACAGGATGGCTTAGTAGTAAAAGTCGGCTAAATTTCCCATGCAAGGCCCAAGAGGCTGTAAAGGCAGGGACATCTTGATCCATTATTACTTCTATCCCTGAACCTCTCCAAAAAAAAAAACCCTTCATAAAACAAAACCAAAGCCATTTTACTCTTAAATTGTACAAATATTAGGTTAATTCCCATTGATAAAATACTGTATGGGCGATCAAATCACATTTATTTTCATACAGTCATCCTAACCTTCATTTGATTCTTTAAATTATAATTAAAAAAATAACTTCACACTGACATTAAAACCTGCTTTCTGGGCCCCATTGATTGAATTCAATGACTTCTAAGGTGTCTTCCAGTGCTGTGAGGCACCATTATTACATTAGCTTATGTCACAATTCTCGCCATTAATTTTTACAAAAGATCGAAACTCAGAATGTACTAAAACTAGACAAAAAAAGGTTTGCATGCATCAAAAAGATGTGAAATAGAAAGTAGCTGTATATTAACGGTCACATACAGCTACTTTGGCATATCCAAATAAATGCCGAGCCTGTTATCAGTGGAAGTTGTCATGCAATGTCAAAACATTGTCCCCGATAAAATATTACAATATGTATAAAGACTAAACTTATAGTTTGAGGTTATTTTCATACATGCTATTGTGTAAAATAAATAATGGGTAGGGATCTATGAAGTAATAACATTAGAAAGTAGGATACTTCATATGAATTAAGTCAATATCTCATTTACAAGAGTATCGGTTCAATTGAGTATGTATTGGGGTTATGTCTCAAGCAAATTGCTTATGGTTCTCATCTAGAAAAATTCTATATTTAACAAATGAAATTATTGCATCCACATGCAGATTTCATAAAGATGTTGGAAGGTTGTTTAAGATGCAATCATTTTGCTAATATGTTGCAAAAATTAACTTACAGCTATACATCCTGTTAGGTTCCATTTTCAATAATATTTCAGCAATTTCCAACCTTTTTTACCTTATGGTACAAATAAACTAGTTACTAAAATTCTGCAACACACCAAAAATTATATTATCTTTCGCCTATCTGCCAAAAAACAAACACACACACACCCAATGGGTATGATTCTCATAGCACAAAGGTGGAAAATCGCTGATATATTTCAAACAGGTCTATGTCATGATATATTTGGTACTTTGTGGATGAATTGGAAAGAGGATGTAGATAAAGAAAACAAGAAAAACTATTTCCAATGATAGCCTATGAGCCATTAGAAATAGGACTTGAAGGGCAGCATATTTCATAGGATTCTACACTTGACAGGAGTTAGTCTCCCATCATTGGTAAGTTTGTAACATATTATGAACAGGTTGGGCTAACTTGGGAGTCATGCATCAAGCAATTCCATTATCACACCATGAACGAAAGTACAAGGTTGAAAACCCAAAGGCAGAAGTCTGACTGCTAAAAAAAAAACCAAAACACGTAAAACAAAATGTGATCATTACAGTAAAATATAATAGAGGTATAGAAATATTAGATAGCCAGTTTTCTGAGTGACAATGTCATTTCAAACAAATTTATTTCCTTGCTTCATGAAAAAGAGCACTCTAACAGCAAGAGTAGCCAGTATACAATCACAATGCTGCAGAACATTTAAGCATGATCTTTGAAAAAATTACAGGGCATACAATGGGATGGATAATTTAGGAAAGAGTTCAATAATGCAGGAATCGTGTGTGGTTCCCACCATGGGCTTATTAGCTGAGCAGGTGTTAATCTCAATATTCCCTAAAATCAACACTTGAGCTTCAAGTTTAGATTGTTAAGGAAACTTATTTTACGTTAGTGACACTGCTCGGAATTGCTGTACATATATCACAATGGTGTGTTTTGAAGGAAATGTGTTTGTTTATTTATTTATTTCTTAGTAAAATGTGTGTTAAGAGTATCTTCTAGGATTTTAATTCTTCAAGTTTACTGTTATGGGTGGTGATACAAATAAAACAAAAGCATTTACTTAAAATTTGCAGACATTCAATAAGTGTTGAATGGATAGACGGGTGGTTGGATAAAGTATCTTTAAGTTTTATCCATTAAGTCTGGTGAAAAAATAACTCCTAGTGAGAGGTAAGGCCTAAAATAAAATATTACAATGGTGTATTCTTGATGGTTTACTACAAGTAAATATCTTATTTAAGCAGCTGAAACAATAAAGAATCACTTATTTATATACTTAGATGTATAAGAAATCATAGGTTCACAAAAATATACATGTTTTACAACAGAAATCTAAGGCACACAAAATACTAAAACAAGTCAATGAATTACCCTATTTTACATATTCAAAAGCAGAAATCAACTTATACAAGATGGACTATCAATGACATTTTGCTATTTACAATCCCTTCATATTCCTTTACATTGATTAGTCAAAAGCTTGAAACTGATACTTTGCACCATATATTATTTTAATAATTTATGATTAATTTTATTTAGAGAGCTTACTGGAATTGTTTGCTTTTGCACCAGAATCGTGAGTGTTAGCGGTTATGGCCTTCCTATGGCATTTCCAGAGGAGAAGCACCATTAGGTTCCCATACTCCCAAGGAATCTGAGACTTTGAAGGTTATAGCACCTCTGCATTTTAACAGAATCAAGTATTTCACTGAAATTTCTTCCCGATCTAAAATTTGGTTTGGGCAATCTCTTTTGTACCAGAAAAAGTAACACAAAAAATAATGGGACGATTGAAAAAAATAAACAGAATGCCTATTTTCCTGAAAGCTAGATCATAGGCAATTATCTCAAAACTAATATGTTTAAACTACTTTGGATTAACTAATTTATAACATACCAACTATTTGTTTTGTGTGTGTAATGATAAGGAATTAATTTTCATAATATTTCTACTAAAATTTTATTCTTAGTCTCTACTAGAATGACTTTCAGAAAAAGGCAATTTGGGATGGGTAGGGTTCTTACTACTTAATTTTTGTATTTAATCACCTTGAAACTTTAGAAGCATTTGACTCTTTTGAATCCTATCATGTCAAATCTCCTTTTGGAAACACCTTTCATGGATTATATTGAGAAAGTTACAGTGAAAGTAAATTGGGGTCAACGTTGCTCAGCAAGAGCTCACACTTACTTAGTTCCCAAGAAAATATTAATCAGTGTGGATGATATGCTTTCCGATTCCAATTTGAGATAATTAACAATTTTCACATGATTGATTTTATATAAGTAGCTAATATTTGAATGAGAAAGAACACATTAAAAAACACAAACCATACACATGTATGAATACATATTGCAGTTAATAAGATGGAACTCTACACAGCAAGAATAAATGATTTCTCTTGTATGCAAATATGCACAAACAATAGACAACTGGATTCTTATACTATACTATTTCAAGTTAATTTTAAAAATAGAAAGTGCTTTTAAAATATATATTTACAATTTAAGAACAGCCTCCAACCATTACTAATAATAACGAATTATTTTATACAGGAGACACCTTAAGAGAGAAAACATTTCATTGGTTTATTTCAAAGGAAAATGCCTATTTTCTAGCAATGATTGGAAGATGCAGAAACCATGGCACCATGAAATAATAATTCAGCTTATAATGAACTATGTCGATGTGGTTAAGCACCAGGAGCTGTGTAGAGTTAACACTGTATATATCTTGATTTTTACATCATAGCACATTATCAGTTAAAAGCCTCTAAAAATTACTCGTTTCATAGTAAACAGACTTATTTAAAGCACCAAACTGAGTGATTCTCTCAAGGTTAACACCTAACCAAAACATTTCTTTATGTATTTAAAACTATAAAACTTTTTTTTATTTTTGCTTAAAATGTGCACCTTCTATCAATTGTCAAAATATATATAGTCACAGTTAAGAAATACCCACCCTACTTCATTTTGTCTGTTTTTACTTCAGCCTTCAAATGGGTGAGATGAAGATCTAGTAAACAACAACATGACTTCCCTTTAACAGCACCTTGGAAAAATACACTGCACTAGCAAAGGCATTGGAAAGGGGAGGACAGCCTTCACACCCAATGGTTATAGGGCCCCGCGACATGGGTGACGGCGTAAGGGGCCACGGTGACAACATTGTCATGGGTCAATGTGACCGCCTTACGGGAAGGAACTTCTTCCTCCATCTCCATCACCTCAGGGGACAGCTCGGGACCCTCGTTAGCTGCCTGATGGCTCTGATCGGAGACCTTAATTTTCTTACTCTTAGCTTCTTTATCTTTAGCCTCATACTTAATCTTGTTTTTTTCAAAACCGTGGTGGGGACTGTTTAGGTTTTTGTGCTGGTAGAAGACGAGAGAGAGGCGCGTGGGATGATTCCGGTTTGGGTGTCGGACGGGCGTGGTGGCATGAAGCTCTCGCCGGGCACACTCAATTAAAACAGAGCCGTGAGCGGGGGCTATGGCCACCCCGCCAACCTCGTCATCCAAAAAGATGTGCTCACTGTCTGACCAATACTCCTCAAGGTGGGGCAACTTCTGCACAGTGGATGCCTGGGGGCCATGGGATGGGGGGGCATCTGATGGAGGCTCAGCTGCTGCCGAATGCTGCCCATCTTCTTCCTTCAGGGAGGAAGCAAGTGCAGGAGCAGAGGTGCTGAGTGGGGGCTGCTGGTTGGGCTCATGAGGAGGCATCTGCTCAGATGGACCAGCGGGAGGCTCAGAACCCACCAGGGAATCGGACATGGGAGTAGGCAAAGTGGGAAGAGGACTCACTTCACCAGGCTGTGCAATTCCAGAGCATTCCCCAGCGGCGGCGGCGGCATTAGCATCACTGTGCCTCTCAGAAGACATCGTGAAGTCGGGATTGCTACTTCTTTCTGGAAACCCGCCCGAAACCGAGGCATCTTTTGTGGTGGAAGCAGTGTTGGCGGACGAGGATAAGTTTGGGGATAAGTTTGCCTTTTGCACTGGGTGAGGAATGGATGGGATCGGTGAGGAAGTTTGAATGTTGTTCGAACCTTTGAAGACAAAATTTGGTTCAGTTTCACATTTTTAAAATTTTGTTTTAGTTACTTTTAACATTATTATTTTTATTGATTTCAGAGAGGAAGGGAGAGGGAGAGACAGAAAAATCAAGGATGAGAGGAAATCATTGATCGGTTGCCTCCAGCAAACCCCCTATCGGGGATTGAGCCCCCCACCCAGGCATGTGCCCTCGATAGGAATCGAACCTGGACCCTTCATGCATAGGCCAAAGCTCTGTCTACTGAGCCAAACCAACTAGGGCTAAAGAGTATTTTTTTTTTAAATATAATTTTTAATGATTTCAGAGAGGAAGGAAGAGGGAGAGAGAGAGATAGAAAAGTCAATGATGAGGACCATTGATTGGCTGCCTCCTGCATGATCCCACTGGGGACTGAGCCCACAACCCGGGCATGTGCCCTTGACCGAAATCGAACCTGGGACCCTTCAGTCCGTAGACCAATGCTCTATCCACTGAGCCAAACCAGGTAGGGCTAAAGAGTACAAAGAATTATAACAAAACACTGACAATGGAAATGTTGGCCAATTTTGTTCCACTTAACGTCAAACACACACGCAAACATTAAAAATGAAACGAAGGACCCTCCAGTCCACTGTGATAAACTGGCTCGGCATAGTTCCTTTTTCCAAAGAGAAGTTATACATAGGACCCAGGGAGTGGTACATCAAGAAACCCATGCTGCGTCTATTATTATGGAAATTAAGTTGTCAACAAATACAAATAATGGGAGGGGGGAGGGTAAAATAGTGATGAGTCTTTCATTAAACCTAATAAAACTGTAAAAGAAAGGTTTCATGGGTAAGATTACAAAGGGGTCAAGATGTTATGGGCCAAATATTGTACATATGACTTCAAATAAGGTATATGTTAGCAAAAAGAAATTGTATCTTCAATTTTGGATATGATTATAAATAGAGAGGAAGTGAAAAAGAGATATCTTACCTAATAACAGAGAACAATGTAAATTGACTATACCTTCACTAGACCACAGCCAATCAGAGTGAGAATGCAAATCAACACAACAAAGATGGCAGTTAATTTGCATACATGCCTGGGTCCCGGGAACCTCCTAGGCACCCAGATCACTCCCAGCTGGCCATCGGGCAGAGGCTTTAGGCTTTGAAGTGGCCGAGCCTGCGATCAGAGGGGCGGGTGGGGGAACCACTTCCCAAGCCTAAAGTCTTGGCAGATCCTTTAGACTTAGAAAGGGGCTGAGCCTGTGATCGGAGGTGCAGGCGAGGAACTCCTTCCCAAGCCTGTGCTAGAGGTTTTTAGGGGAAAATATCAATGGAAACATATCCTGAGGTGAGGATAACATGAAAAATAAAGAAAGAAATGTCATATCCTAGGAAAGACACATCTTGAAAATGCTTAAAGAAAGTTGTCATTTTTTCATGGCAAAGGGACTGGAGTCCGTGTTGATGAAAACACCTTGAAATCTGCGGTGACTGGCAGTGGCTGCAGCAGAGGGGTGATGGGGCTGGCGCCTTCCCCTGATCAGCCGGGTCGCCTCAAGCAAAGGGAGGCCAGACTATGGCTTAGGTCGGCTCCCAGTGAGGAGCAGGCTTAAGCCATCCATAGGACATCTCCTGAGGGTTCCCAGTATGTGAGAGGGGGCAGGATGGGCTGAGGGACCCCTTCCCAGTGCACAAATTTTGTGTACCAGGCACCTAGTATTGACAGAGAGAATCATTGGATCAGTTGACTTCCATATGCACCTCACCTGAGGGATCAAACTTGCAACCTATGTGTGTGCCCTGACGGAAATTGAACCCACACCTTTTGGTGTGCAGGACAAGACTCCCAACACACAGAACTAACATGCCTGGGTGGTATATGTTATTTTAAAAATAGCATGTAAAGATGCTACCTAATTGGAAATGACACAAAGATAAAAATGATATGATCGAAATGTAACCAGCATTCTATAAAAAAAAGTGTGCACTGTCATTTCTCCCATTTAAAAAAACAACAAATAAACAACCCGTCTTAAAAATATAAATATCAAAGAAGTTGAAGAAAACCCTATAATTCTGTTTAAATACCAATATAAATTCATGGTGTATTTTTTCCATTAGGCTCTTTAGAGAAATGGCTGATTTTAGAAGTGGAACAGGATTATATTTGACTAGAGGCCTGGTGCACTAGATATTCGTGCACAGAGAGTCCCTCAGCCTGGCCTGTATCCTTCTCCAATCCATGACAGCTGGCTCACAACTGCCTCTGCCTGCCTGCCTGCCTGATCTTGCCCCTAACAGCCTCTGCCTTGGCCCCTTCGGCTATTACCAGTAGGAAGTCGGACATGCAAAAGACTTCTGTTAGATCAGGACTAATTAGCATGTTACTCTTTTATTATTATAGATTATAGCTGAGCCTGGAACATCTGGCCAGAACGGAAGCTATCAAAGACAGTTGCGGGTTCTGAAAAAGCAATTTATAAGCCAGGTTTCTACTGACTAAAGACGGGACAATTAAATATATATCTATTGATTTCAGAGAGGAAGAGCGGAGAGATAGAAACATCGATGATGAGAAAGTCATTGATCAGTAGCCCCTGCTGGGGATTGAGCCAGAAACCGAGGCATATGCCAGGCCTGGGAATCAAATAGTAACCTCCTGGTTCATACTCAATCAAAGAGGCTTGAAAGTCGGACGGAAATGCGATTCTGGTCTTCCTGTATATCTTTCCTATATTGTTCTCCTCTCCCCATTCCTCATTAATGTTGGTTGGTTTCTCCACACTTCCAGTTCCTTCAGGCCAATAACATCAGGGTAAACCTTGACACTTTTGTGGGGACACATGCCAAATTTAATCAGAAATCCTGTTGATTTAATCTTCCAACCATATCTGAAATTAGGTATTTCCTTATGTCCTTTTCAGACACGCTGGTCCTCTCCTGAATTATTAGGATAGCCTTTAGGATGACCCTACTTTTCTCTTCACTGCCCCACTTTACTCTAGTTTTAACCTAGTAACCAGCATGTTAGGTTTGAGTCACATCATATCCGTTTTCTATACCGAAATCGCCAGTAAACTTCTCACTCACAATAAAGACCAAAGTTTTTATAGAAATCTACAAAGCCTGAGAAATGGAACCCTTTTATCTCTCCCATTTCACACTTGCTCCAACCACAGTGGACTCCTTGCGAGCATCAAGTATTCAAGGGAAATTCCTGTCTCCTGCCTATGCCATTTCTTCTGGCTAGAGTGCTATTTTTCCAAATAAAAGCACTGCAGATTCTCATTTCCTTCAGGATGTCACAGAAATTTGTTACCCTTAGTGAATATTTGTGATGTATTTAAATGTAATTCTTTTACAGTAATACCTGCCCTTATTGCCATGGCTACATTTCCAATACCCAAAATACTTCAGAGTGTTGCTCAGTAAAACTGGTTGAGCAGGCTACTTAAATTGATCAAGAAAGACTTCAAGGAAGTAATGTCACTTCGTATATACCAAAAGGAAGGATTAGGGCTTAAAAAAAAAAAATAAAAAAAAATAAAAATAATAATAATAAAAAAAAAGGGGAACAAAGAAAGAACATGCTGCCCCTTCTGGATGGCTCAGTTGGCTGGAGCATCTTCCTGTGCACCAAAAGGTTTTAGGTTTGATTCCCGGACCAGGCACATACCTAGGTGGCCAGTTTTGATCTCTGGTCAGGGCATGATTTATGTTTCATCTCAATCTCTCTTACCCAACTTTCTTTCTCTAATACTTGGGCGAGGATTAAAAAGAACAAAACAAATCAAAAAACACGTTTTTGTAAAAAGTAGAGATGGGGCATTTTTGTTGATTTTTGGTGTGTAAGTATGTAAAAACTAGAGGCCTGGCACACAAAAAATTCATCCCTCAGCCTGGCCTGACCCCTCTCACAGTCCTGGTGCCCTCAGGGGATGTCCTACTGCCAGCTAAGGCCCACTCCCCATGGGAGCAGTCTGACCTCCCTCTGTGGGAGGTAACTGGGCCGATCAGGGGAAGGTGCTGTCCCCATCACCTCACTGCTGCTGCCACTGCTGGCCCTCCTCGGCCCTGGTAGCTGCTGCAGCTTTGTCCAGAGGAACGTCCGGTCTAATGAGCATATTACCCTTTTATTAGTATAGATATATTTGGTGTCATAGATATAGTTTGAACTCTAACAAAGTTATATTAAAAACAAATGAGCCCTAACTGTTTGTCTCAGTGGATCCAGTGTCAGCCTGCAGACTAAAGGGTCCCGGGTTTCCTTCTGGTCAGGGCCACGTTTCTGGCTTGTTGGCTCCATCCCCAGTAGGGGGCGTGCAGAAAGCAGGTGATGGATGGTACTCTCAAGTCACTGATGTTTCTATCTCTCTCTCCATTTCCCTAACTCTCTGAAAACAATAAAAATATGTTTTGTTTTGTTTTTTTTAAAGAGATATAACAATTAACTCACTTAATTGCCTGTTAACTGACATAAAGAATTTCTTCCTATAATGCCCATTACTAAGAGTAGCAAAGATAAAGGAGAAGAATACAGTGCAAAGGAAACACTGAACTTCTGCCAAGGAAACTGATGCACTGAAAACAAGCAGTCCTATGCCTCATCTAAAAGAAACAGTGATGGCCCTAACTGGTTTGGCTCAGAAGATGGAGCATCGACCTGCGGACTCAAGGATCCCAGGTTGGATTCTGGTCAAGGGCATGTAGCTTGATTGCAGGCACATCCCCAGTAGGAGGTGTGCAGGAGGCAGCTGATTGATCTTTCTCTCTCATCGATGTTTCTAACTCTCTCTCCCTCTCTCTTCTTCTCTGTAAAAAACAAATGTAATACATATGTTAAAAGTGACAGTGATGAAGCCTTACTGTTGTGTGTTGTGGAGTTATTCTTCCGCTTGATTCGAGGAATGAGCTTCTTCTCCATAGCCTTCATCTTGCACGTGAAGACATCTGTCCTCCTCGATGTCCTTTTCTTCCCACAACGAGGAATTGGCTGCCTAAAACATGTCCTTTTTTTTGGGCGGGGCTTGAGGACATCAATGGCCCCAGACCTGACCTTAGCTTCCATTCCTTCCCTGGAGTCAAACTCATCGGTGTCTGATAATTTATAGAGGGGTAGAACATGGAGCTGCTCATCTTGAGGAACGATGCCAAAGGAGCGGTTGTCTTCTCGTGTTAAAGTACAAACCTGATAGGAAGGAAAACATGGAAAATATAGGCCCTGCACATGCATCACAGTTACTCCTACCATCTCATCGCCATATCGCAAGGGATCTGTATTCAAATTTTATGTTCAATTTTATATATTAAGAGATTTAAAAATAGTAAATACTATGAACTTATCAATTGTTTGTAAACAAGACCCTTATAATTTTCACTTGACTTTTAAGTAAATGATAATGCATGTTTATATATTATACCATATTTTAACTATTAAGCATTGTAGCTGTCACATTATATCTTACCTTTAGTAAACAAAGTTAGTGAACTGTTGTTCACTGCCTTCATATTAAATATTAACTATTAAGAAATGACTACTTTATAGCCAATACATAACCTTAATTCTAAATACTTAAATAATGTCAAATTCCTTCAGGTAGAGGGAGTTTAATTATAATAATTTTTCTACTTTACTGTGTTTCCTCTAGGACTTCTTTATTGCTATTTGGTAAGTGAAGTTTATAAGTATCTTTTCTGCCTTCACTAAATAAATAGACAGATATTCATGTAGCAAAAGAGGAAGCACAAAAGATCTTTTTTAGGAAGACATATATTTTACTTATTTTTAAAAAAACAACTGAAGTATCGTATCTTGATGAATTTTCTCTTTCTGTTCCGTTTTTCTTCGATTATAAATAGAAGTAAATTATATTTATTATAATTTGCCTGACTTGTGTTTTTGTTTCTATAACACTGACATGAGGATATTTTTAAGAAATATATATTTTATTGATTTTACACAGAGAGGAAGGGAGAGGGATAGAGTTAGAAACATAAATGAGAGAGAAACATCAATCAGCTGCCTTCTGCACACCTCCTACTGGGGATGTGTCTACAAACAAGGTACATGCCCTTGACCCGAACTGAACCGGGGACCCTTGAGTCCCCAGGCAGATGCTTGATCCGTTGAGCCAAACCAGTAAGGGCCTGAGGATATTTTTTCACATTGATTTCTAGACAGTGGAAGAAACAGGGAAGGGGATTGGGGAGAGAGACAAAAGAAAAAGCCTAGAGAGAAACACTCATCCACTGGCTACCGGGAATTGGAAACTTACAACTGAGGTACCAGCTCTTGACTGAGAATAGAACACATGATCCGTCTTTGTGCAAACCAATGCTGTAACCACTGAGAAAAATGGCCAGGGCTGCTGAAGCCGGTTTGGCTCAGTGGTAGAGCGTCAGCCTGAGGGCTGAAAGGTCTCAGGTTTGATTCCGGCCAAGGGCATGTACCTGAGTTGCAGGCACATCCCCGGTAGGGGGTGTGCAAGAGGTAGCAGCTGGTCGATGTTTCTCTCTCATTGACCTTTCTAGCTCTCTAAATCTCTCCCTTCCTCTCTGTAAAAAATCAATAAAATATATTTAAAAAAAAAATGGCCAGGGCTAAAGTGTTTGAATGAGAAATAAGACATGTTAAGAAAATTCTGTCTTTTTTTTTTTAAATATATTTTATTGATTTTTCACAGAGAGGAGGAAAGAGGGATAGAGAGCTAGAAACGTCGATGAGAGAGAAACATCGACCAGCTGCCTCTTGCACACCCCCTACCGGGGATGTGCCCGCAACCAATGTACATGCCCATGACCGGAATCGAACCTGGGACCTTTCAGTCCGCAGACTGATGCTGTACCACTGAGCCAAACCGGCTTTGGCAAGAAAATTCTGTCTTGATTATAATCTATCTCTCAGGCCTTGACCTTATGTTATTTTTATAAATTATGGAGAAATAAAAATACAGAAAATTCCTGACCTTTGATACTTAACTCTTCTTCAAACTACTCTTTCTTTCTTTCTTTCTTTCTTTCTTTCTTTCTTTCTTTCTTCCTTCCTTCCTTCCTTCCTTCCTTCCTTCCTTCCTTCCTTCCTTCCTTCCTTCCTTCCTTTCTGTCTTTCTTATAAATCAAAGGTTTGCATTCTTTTTTTAAAAAAATATATTTTATTGATTTTACTCAGAGAGGAAGAGAGAGGGACAGAGAGCTAGAAACATCGATAAGAGAGAATAGAATCATCGATCAGCTGCCTCTTGCACACCCTCTACTGGGGATGTGCCTGCAACCATGGTACATGCCTTGACCGGAATTGAACCCAGGACTTTTCAGTCCGCAAGCCGACGCTCTATCCACGGAGACAAACGGGTTTCGGCCAAACTACTATTTCTATGATAATTTTCAAATGTCATTAAAAGCATATACAAGTGTTCCCAAGATTGGATTTTCAAGGTTGAAAAATATAGGTCAAATCAGGTACGCTAAAAATCTTTTAAAATCTTACTGTTTTCTCAATATCTCTAGTCAAATTGACTAGCAAGGTTTGAAATACTGAACTTACATCTACGGCAATACCACCCTGAATGTGTCCAATCTCGTCTGAAATACTGAACTTACTTGATTTCAATATTTTAAAAATTTTTTATTTATTTTTTATTTTTCTTTTTTATCTCCCCCAACCCTGCGCCTTTTCAGGCAGCTCAATATTTTAAAATTTAGTAACTTAAAAACATTCTTATTAAAAAAAAATCAACTCTTTTACTAGTAAATGTTTATATCAATCTATTTATTTGTAGAGAGTCTAAGGCAGGGACAAGGACAAGGACTAAACATGAGAAATGTAAGAAACGGACAGAGGGAAGAAAATTTGACAGTAGAATTTCAAGGGTTCAGTTTTTGTAAGATGGGGAAATTTGTAATTATGCCAAGAACTAGGCATGAGCCCCATGACAGGAATAACAGCAGCAGTGGAAAAGAATGAGCATGGACAGTGGATAGAGCGTCAGCCTTTGGACAGAGGGGTCCTGGGTTCCAATCCAGTTAAGGGCACAGGCCAGGATTACCAGTAGTGGGTGTGCAGAAGACAGCCAATCAATATTCCTCTATTCCCTCTCCCCTCCTTTCTCTAAAATCAATGAAAACATATTTTTCAAATGTGCATTCTTTAAAAAAAAATTTTTTTTTTAAGTTGCCTTACTTTCTATCTACCAGATTGATAGCACAGAATCGTTGCTTTGAAGAGTCAGATAAGACCTACCTCCTCGCAAGCACACCTCGATTAAATATGTAATTCAAGCATTTCAACAAAATATACGTTGAAGGCTAATTCTGCAACTCTTTTGGAAGTACAGTACTTCAAAAATAAAATAAAACTATTGATTACTATGTTGTGTAACAGAACATACAAAACGATGTTACAAGTCCTCCGCCTAAGCATGCAGCAATGGAGGTTTTCGAAACACAAGGGAGCAGGTACGTACCACGGTGCTTCCATTGTTCATGTTGTGAATGTCCCTGTGGGCGTGGGTACAGAAGTCCACGCAAGCAGTGACCCCAGAGAAAGGACGACCTTCTTTGTTGCCAAGCCGACATTCTTGGGCAGTATGTTCAAATTGTACCTTAAAAAAAAAATTAAAAGTAAAAATAAAAGTATGACACAGTATAATAGACAGAGTTTCATTAAAGCGTAAAAATCACTTCCTAACAAAGTTCTTAAATTAATTACAGTTTGTAACTTCAGAGCTGTCCTCAATGACAGTATTGCTGGATTGAATGTGTGGTTTAGTGACATCCAGGATAAAGAGGTTGAGGACACATGGCTGAAGGTAGGGCGACTATACTAATGCCCACTTATTATTGACTTAAGTTGCCAAATCATGCCATTAGAAAGAAAAATATAGAGTGTGCCTTAATCATGTATGCAATTTTCAAAGGGCATAAAATTAAATATACATACATTCATGAAGAAGTATAGAAAATACATTTATAAAAGTAAACGAAAAGCTGAAATTGAAGAGAGAGAGCATGTTATTCATAATACAAATGAAATAAAGATTTTTTTTTAAAAAATGGGCTGATGCTTCTTTAAAGTTAGAAAATATTTGACCTTATACAAGATTTATAAATATTTCCTCCCATTCTGTGGTTGTCTTTGTGTAAACTCACCCACTGCTCCACACAATTTTAATTGACACAATTCTGATATGTAACCTATAAGCTTAAGGTGCACAATGTGGCCATGAGATATGTGGATGTATTGCAAAATGATTGCCTCCATAGGTTCAGTTAACATCCAATCCCTCTTTTCTTGTTGATGTCCTTTGAAGCACAACCTTTAAAAATTCTGATGGTCTACTTTCTCTCAATTATATTTTTCTATCGTCTATTGCTAGTGTATACAAATGCAACAATTTTGCATACTGATCATTCTTTATAGAAACCTTGCTGCAGTCACTTTTCAGCTCTTTGGTTTAAATGATGTATTTGTTTTAAATTAATTAATTAATTAAAGTGGTTGAAGTGACATAAAGGTTTCAGGCGTGGGTTTGTTATGTTAATACTTATTTTTAATTCTCTCTGTGTGTGTATGTGTACACTATTTTCTAGATACAGTATCATGTCACTGGTAATTACTTCGTTTTTAGTTTGGATTTCTTTTACTTCCCTAATTGTCTTTTACTTCCCTGACTAGAACCTCTACCAACATGTTTCACACAAGTGGTGACATTTGACATTTTTATCTTGTCCCGGATATTAGGCAGAAAACTTTGTCTATTATCATTGGTTCGGTTAGCTCTTGAGTTTTTCGTGGAAGTCCTTTACCAGGTTGAGGCACTCCTCTTCTAGTGTTAGTTTCTTGAATGTTTTTATTACTTAAGACTTGGATTACTCAATGACTTTAATTCACTTTACTTCTTTGTTCTATTAATATGGTGTGGCACGCTGACTAAATTTCATGTGTTGAACCAATCACATATTCCTGCTTTCTAAGTTCCATATTGAGAGCGAATCATAATTCTATGATGTTTTAATTCAATTGCCACAATAATATTTCTTTAAAATCCTAGATAATGTTAAAGCTGTCCAATTAAAAAATGGTCATTTGGAAAGGTTTCCTATTAAGAGTGATTTTATTTATAAAGGAATTTCATTAATGTTTAAATGTACTATTTAAGGTCCCCACACATACCTGGTTCTGGTAAGCAACCGGAGCATACTGTTTATAAATTGGAGCTAATTGTGTGGCCAAACTCTGCAAATTATCTTCCAGGTTTTTTTCCTATAGGAAAATACAGTCCATAAAGGTTATTTTCACAATATCATGTGAGGTGAGTTCAAGATTATGGAAATGATATGTAGGGTGATGCACACTTCATACTTACACTGATGAAAGAGCTACAATAGAAAACAATGTGGATTGTTTTAAGCACTTAGTGATTATTATGCTTTCATTCAGTCTTTTCAAACTAAAATTCTACGTTATAAGCTAATTAGAAATTTAAATATGAGAGGTTAGTTACAAGTTTGCTCATGTTGCTAAAAATGAGATCCATATTCAATGATATTGGCTACTGGAATAACAGCAACGTCCACATAAGAAATTTAATTTTTGAGTGTGTCTAACAAGCCTCAAACTTGGCAACTGTAACAAATCAGGGATAACCTTTTTGATTTCCTAACAAATTATGTTGATGCTTCCACTGACAGACAGACAAGCAAACAAACAAAGCAAGCAAGCCTATATCTAGAGTACTCTGTTCCATTCATCTGTCTCTTAATTATCTGGTACTTAATGTAGTGTACTAGATAGAATGAGGAAAGTTAGGATCCTACTTGAAATACAGTTCCTGTCTTTATACACAGACCTTAATTATTTTCTTTGTTTGGGAAAAAAACTTTAGAATTATTTAAACTAGAGACCCGGTGCATGACGTTTGTGCACTGGAGGCGAGCAGGGAGACCCTCAGCTTGACCTGTGCCCTCTTGTGGTCCAGGACCCCTTGGTGGGCATCTCCCGAGGGGTCCTTAGTGCTGCTGCAGAGGTGGGGGCACCTGCCACTGCCACTGTGCTCACCAGCCATAAGGCCAGCTTCTGGCTGAGTGGAGCTTCCCCTGTAGGAGTTGACTGACCACCAGGGGACAATTCCTGCATTGTCTGCCCCCTTTTTATTTTCTATGGTAGTCAGTGCACATCATAGTGATGGTCTGTTTTGCTGTTCAGTCTATTTGCATATTAGCCTTTTATTTTATAGCATACCTATTTAAAAAGATTTTTGTTTTCTAACACTTGAAATATTGGGTAGGGTGTTTTATTGCCAGTAAAATATTATGAACAATATAGTATCACAATTCAAATTTATAATCCTATTGAGTGGAAATGGTTGTGGTGAGGAGGTTAAGAGGCAAATAAATCCTGATTTTCTAATTGCTTTAGTAGAAAAATGTGTTTCAGACATATTTCTTTTAAATCAGATCTTTGCCTGTTCGGGCTCAAACCAACATCTCTCTTTCTTCTCACACTATATCTGATCTCAAGAACCACTCAATCTACACCCATGACATGTTGCCACCTGACCAGGAGATTACCCAGTCCTCTACCAAGCTGGCACTATTTCAGCATAACCTTTAGTGAAGAAATAGAACCACCGTCTAATTTTATTTTTATTGACTTCAGAGAGAAAGGGAGAAGGAGAGAGAATAGAAAGATCAATTATGAGAAGGAAGCATTGATTGGCTGCTTCCAGCATGCCCTCACTGGGGATGGAGCACTCAGTCTGGGTATGTGCTCCTAACCAGAATCAAACCAGGACCTTTTAATCTGCAGGCCATCACTCTATCCACTGAGCCAAACCGGCCAGGGCCACCCTCTAATTTTAAAAATCTCCCAGACCAACCATTGCTCACCATTTCCTCTGTCCCAATCATAATTCAAGCTACTAGCTCACTTTGTTGAACCTACTCTTGGTCAACTGCAATCCATTTTTCAAAGGGTACAGCCACAGAGAGTTCTTTAAATTACAAGTGTAATTATATAACTCTCTTTCTTAAAACCTTTCAATAAACTTCCAAGATCTTGAAGTGGCTTAAAAGGACATTATATATACCTCACTCTCTCTTGCCTGCCGAGATTCATATGGCCTTCACTCAGTTCCTGGAATGAGCACTACTTCATCCTGAATAATAAGCACTATATAAATGTTACTAATTATCAATGATAACCATAAACAAAAACTGATCTCACATCTATTAATTACATAACAGAATTATTATGATAGAACAGAAATTTTAGTCATGTCAATATTATTAAAATATCTACATGCTAATAGTTGTATCATATAATACTTGGAATGAAAATTACAATTGTTTAATTTTAAGAAACATCAATGATGAGTTATTATTATATTTTAAATATATATTTTATTGATTTTTTTTTACACAGAGGAGTAGAGAATTATAAACATCAATGACAGAGAAACATAGATCAGCTGCCTCTTGTACACTCCCTAATGGAATAGAACCTGGGACCTTTCAGTCCGCAGGACGACAAACTGGTTTCGGCTGATATCCCATTATTAAGTGTCAGATCTTTGATACAACAGACCAGCTTCCCATTATAAAGTATTTTATATGCCCATTACTAATTTTTTTAAACAGTTTTCTTCCTAAATGTCTAATAAACTTTTTTTTAGACTTCTATGGTACTTTATTTTCAAGTAATAGTCTTGTCTCTTGAATATTTTCCTTGTTTTATTGCAATAGATGGGGAATATAGAAAATGCTAAATAAATGATCTCTTTCAAGAGACCATTATTCATTTAAAACCATGAATAAGCTTATTTGATGTCATAGAGGAAGAGAGAAGGACAGAGAAACAGAAACATCCACAAAGAGAGAGAATCATTGATCGGCTGCACTTCCAAAGCAGGGGATTGAGCCTGTACCAGGGAATATGCCCTGACTGTGGCTCAACCGGCATGCATATACTAAGCCTTTTTGAAAGATATTCTAATCCTTGTGTTCCAGATATACTAGGATTAATTCCTGCCGTTTTCTTTTCCATTTATCCTGTCATAATGATTTTGTGTCAATTCCCTTCAATAATTTATGGATCGTTTGCTTTTTAAATACACCCACCCTAAATAATTCAAAGCTGTAAATTCTATTTTTATTCATCTAAAAAAAATGTTAAACATGCAAATACATTTTAATGACATTCAGAGCAGTGTTTTCCAAGCTGTGGGTATAATGAATAGAGGACCATGAAATCAGTTTAGTAGGTCACAACTAGCATTTAAAAAATAAATGAAATTTTTTAAAAACATTACCGCATTGTAGAGATACTTAATAAGAACTATAATAAGGTTAAGTCTTTTTTCCCAATAGTTTTGTTTTAATTATTTCCTTATAGATATCTATACAGTGGTTTGTGATATAAATTATTATTATTATTATTATTTTTACAATTAGAGCTCAAAGTTTGAAAAACACTGATCTTAGAGTTAATAAGTATCTAAACCGTTCCCACTCCAAACACAGCATAAAACATCACCACACTTAGTGTTATAGGTGCCCCACTCCGCCCCCTGACTATGCACACTTGAGTTGTTAAGAGAATGGAATGATACTTATAGCTTGTTATTTTTAATGTAAGTACTCAACTTATTTAAACTTAACAATAAGGTTGAGTAATTTCTTTGCTCACCATGGCCTCTTGTCCCGGACAGATTGCTTCCGGTCTCACATATCTTCTTTCTGGAATACGTCCTTTAGTAATTCTTTCATAGTAGGTCTGTGGGTAGTAAACTTTCTGAGTCTGTGAAATGGCTTCCTACTTTGGCTGGGTATAAAATGCTAGATGTTCTTTTAATAATAATTATCTCTGGGGGTTAGGGGAGAAGGAGGAGGGAGCCAGGGACAATTGGAATTTGGCTTGATGGATTTACCTAATTGATTTATAATTATGATGTATTTCCATAAGTGTACATATTTTTACTGTCTTATCAGTACTTTTAATACTTATTATTTTTAATCCTGAAAAACATATAAAAGAAATATATATATATATATTTCTTTTAAATGTTTTAAAAAGAGTATTAAAATATATATAGCAATATTAAAAACAATATTAAAATATACATATTCAGTGTATAATTCAAATGTTAAAAGGGCACTTACATGTAAAGGAGAACTTGGATCAATTCTAAATCTTCTAGGGCTTGAGCTTCTACCAAATTTACAGCCATTAAAAAACATACTCCATGAGCAGCCAAAAGAGAATGAAGCTCCACAAGTTTCAGGGTCAATTCCTTGACATGTACAGGTACGTCTGTAAGATGGTAATGGCAAGACAATGAACTGACAAAGCAGGACAATACTTCAGATAGATTTATATAACTTTAAAAGTACACATGGATAATAAACTGATTTTAACACATCTCTTATTATTATATCTAACTACTGTTAACACAATGCTAGAGATCAATCAAGGGACTTGTATGCATGCATATAAGCCTAACCAATGGACACAGACTATGGGGGGTGAGGGCATGAGTGGGGGTGATGAGGGAATAAGGACACATATGCAACAACTTAATCAATAAAAAAAAGAAAAAAACAGGTGGGAATGCCTAAAATCTGAAAAAACAAACAAAAACAAACAAACACACACACAATGCTAACTCAACGTGAATATAATTAAACTAAACTAGGGACCCAGTGCACGACATTCATGCACTGGGACAAGTGTCTCCTCAGCCTAGCCTAGGCCCTTTACCAGGCTGGCACCCCTTGGGGGAGTGGATCTAAGCAGGCAATTGGACATCTCCACCCAAGTGGTCCTTAGAGTTGACACAAATCGTGCTGCTCCCTGATGTGGGAATGCACTGACCACCAGGGGGCAGCTCCTGCATTGAGTGTCTGCCCCCTGGAGGTCAGAGCACGTCAAAGCAACTGGTCCTTCTGCTGTTCAGTCAATTTGCAATTAGCTTTTTTTATATAAGTTAAATATTTAAAAAAATTAATAAAATGCTCAAGATTGCAAATCTAAATAAACTGTAATAGATGGAATTGGAGAACATTATGCTGAGTAAAATAGAGCAGTCAATGAAGGAGAAACACCACATGATCTCACTCATTTATGGATAATAAGGAACATTATAAACTGATGAACAAAAAGATAGATACAGAGACAGTAAAAGAAACAGACTGTCAAATTACAGTGGGGAGGGTAGGGAGATATGGGGGGATAAGAGATCAACCTTGTATGCATCCATATTAGCATAACCAATGGACGAAAAACTCTGGGGAGGGAGGGCATGTATGGGAGTGGGGGCGGGGTGGGGATTGGTAAGATATGCACATATATAATACCTTAATAAAAAAATAAATAAAATAAACTGTAATAAACTATACAGATCTATAACACTGATAACCGCCAAAGCCGGTTTGGCTCAATGGATAGAGCGGCAGCCTGCAAAGTGAAGGGTTCGATTCCGGTCAAGGGCATGTGCCTTGGTTGCAGGCACATCCCCTATAGGGGGTTTGCAAGAGGCAGCTGATCGATGATTCTCTCTCATCTATGTTTCTAACTCTCTATCTCTCACTCTTTCTCTCTGTAAAAATTCAATAAAATATATTTTAAAAATAAAACACTCATACCCTGTTTGATAGGAAGATGTTCTGAGAATGGAATATAAAGGGCCTGGATTTACATCCAGGTCTGATCTCTATCAAAAATGAAAACTATAGCATTTCATGACCACTTTATTTTATTTTTAAAAAAATATATTTTATTGATTTTGTACAGAGAGGAAGGGAGAGAGATAAGAGTTAGAAACATCGATGAGAGAAGAGTCATCGATCAGCTGCCTCTTGCACACCCCCTACTGGGGATATGCCCGCAACCAAGGTACATGCCCTTGACCGGAATCGAACCCGGGGCCCTTTAGTCCCCAAGCCGACGCTCTATCCATTGAGCCAAACCGGTCTCGGCAGCATTTCATGACCACTTTAGACTTTACCTCCTCCATCTATAAAACTCATCAATATAATCCTCTGAGGCCTGAAAAAAATAGTACATATCGTATGAGAAGTCACTTAGAGCTTCCAAAGAATACCTTATGCAGTCAGTGTCTTTGAAATGGAATAAATAGACTCAAAAAAGTCCAAATTTTATGGATTGAGTTTAGTATGCCAGTAATTTCTGAACTGAATTGAATCAGGCAAAAACAACCAGACAAGCCAAAACTGAATAACACTGTACAAAATTAACTCATCCCTTTAAAAAAGTTAATGTCATGTAACATAAAGAAGTGAGATTAAAGGATTAAATAACCAAAAGATAAAAAAACACACAACTTAATCCACCCAATCTAGAGTGGGGGGAAATTTCTATAAAGATTATTATTGGAAAACAGATATTTGAATAGGAACTGTAGACTAACTCATTTTAATTGTTTAAATCAAAGTTAAATTTTCTGATTTTGATTACTGTACTGGGTTTATATAAAAGATTGCTTTAAGATATCTTTATGTATCAATATAAAAGTCTAAGTTGACTCACACATGTCTAATACATATAAAGCCCTAGATAGCACCAATCACATGTGTTTCTATTTGTAATGGTTAATTGAAAATTTGGTTGACACTTCTATTATAGAGAAAGGGTGAATAGCATTATCAAAATATTTCTTTTGATTAATCTCCTTTCAATGTACAGGAATCTATGCACTGGGACACTAGAACTTTTTAAAGTATTGTTTAGGGGAAATTTTTTAAGTGTGAAACTAGTTCACAAATAATACAGAAAAAATATTTCAAAATCAGTAATAAAAACAAGCATAGATCCACAAATGTGGGTATGTGCCTATGAGTATAAATGCAAATATAACAAACCAGTAACAATGATGTAATCTAGGTAAGGGTTCATTTAAGCATTCTTACATATTTTCTATAAAAATAATTATTGAAAAAATGCTAGATCTGTGTTGGGTGAAATAGAACTATTGGATTCTTTGAAAAGATTAAATAAAACAATATATGTGTATCATTTAAAAGCAGTCTTCAAATAAAAATTTTATATGGGTACACAAATAAAAATTTATTGTGTACCCACATAAAATAATTATCAAACATTTAAAAATTATGTACAGTCCTAGCCAGTTTGACTCAGTGGATAAAGCATTGGTTGGCACCAAAGGGTGCTGGGTTCGATTATAGTCAAGGGCACGTACCTTGGTTTCAGGGTCCTCCCTAGCATTCACCCTGATTAGGGCATGTGCAGGAGGCAACCAATAGATGTGTTTCTCTCTGTCTTTCCCTCTATCTAAAAAAATAATGGTAAAATATCCTCAGGTGAGGATTAATAACGAAAAAGATTTACACAAACTTGTGGCCATTAAAAAGAAAACTATAATGAAATGGAAATATAAGCATAAATGAACACTCTGAGAAATATTCTAATTCATCTTGTGTGGGAATAAGAAGGAATGATATGTTTTTATTATATTTTATATAATGACCTTTCTTCTTAAAAAGAGACCTTTTTGAGGAAAACTACATTAAAATACCCCTGATGGACACACAAGTAAACTTGAAAAAACAAAACAAAACAAAAACCTTTTATGAGATAAGAAGATTCATTATCATAAAGATGTCCATTTATTATAATTTAATGCAGTCCCATTAAAAATATAATTAGATTCATCTTAATACTACATAGTTGATTATGAAGTTTATTTGAAAGCACAAAGGGAGTGGGGGGAGAAGAAGAAAAAGTCTTGGAAAACAGTAAGAATGGCAAGCTAGCCCTACCAATATTAAAATTTAGGCCAGCTAGTGTGGTTCAATGGTTGAGCATCAAACTATGAACCAGAAGATCCCTTGTTCCCTTCTGGGTATTGTGTAAGAGGTAGCCGATCAATGATTCTCTCATTATTGATGTTTTTATCTCTCTCTTCCTCTCTGAAATGAATAAAAACGTATTAAATAAAGCATATACAATTTAAGAAGTGGTACTCACTAGCTGAAAAGCCAAGACAATAATACAGAGTTCAAATACAAGTGAGTACTCACTTGCATAATTTCCATATATAATTAAGTAGCATTTCAAATCAATAAGGAGTACCCTTTACAAAGTAGTAGTGTTGGAATAAATGGAAAAAAGGATCGAAATGAATTTCTTCTTCCTAGTATTGACCAGAATAAATTTTAAATACAGAGATTTATGCTTTTAAATATTTATGATTTCAAAAATTCTAAAAGAAAACATGGGTGAATTACTCTTTATCTTGATAGAAAAATATCCTTACATACCATTTAAAATTGAGACACAAATAAGGTTGAAGATTAAAAAAACAAATACACACTGTCCGATGGATGCTCAGTTGATAGAGCATCTGCCTGCGGACCCAAGGGTCCCAGGTTTGATTCCGGTCAGGGTTATGTGCGGGAGTTTGGGGGTGGGTGCAGGAGGCAGCTGATTGGTGTTTCTTTCTCATGGACATTTCTGACTCTCTCTCCCTTCCTCTCTTTAAAAAGTCAATAAAACATATTAAAATAAATAGATAGAGACTCTCTCACAATGCTGAATGCAATGAGAAGTGGTACAGTTCCCTGTGGAGGAAGCTTTTCCTTTATGGAAAAACTAGTCTGCTCCCAATTCTTGAGGTGAGCAGGACCCAGTATCAAAGAAAGAATCAATAAAATAATACTCGAATGGAGGATATCCTAAAATGGTCTTAACTCTATGGAATGATATCTTTCTCTAAAGAAATGGTCATTATTTTTAAACAATACCTAGAATCTTGTTCTCCCATATAAGTACTTGGTAATTAATTAACAATTTTACATTATATAATAGAAGTCTGAATGTGAAGACAGCACAAAACAGATATGATTACTTCTCATTGAGAGTGCATCTGCGATCTGTGGGGTGGCCGTTGTAGGTCCTCAGGTTCTCGGTCAGCTCTGTGTACAGCCTGTCCGCCATGGGAAGCGGAATGCCGTCCCACACCAGGATCAGCACCACCGTCACTGCTGTGGGACAGTGGTGGCCGGTACGCTCCCGAACCAAACAAAGAATCTTCTCTTCCTCGCTGCTTCTCCTCAAAACCTGCAAAAGCAGAAGGTATTCACGATGGAAAACAAGAAACCAAAGGTTAAACACAATGACTGCTGCTTTTAAAGGTCTGTAGTGCATTCTACTTTTTAAAATTACTGTTTCACAAAGGGTCGAAGCCTATAGGACCTTCTGTTGTCAACCTAGCTTTCTTCAAAGAACTCACGATAGAGTATCCAAGATGACTTGACTAACGAACAACAGATAGAAATCTGCGGGATGTGGTTATTATTTGTAAAAGGATACCAAAGCACTCTGTTTATGTCATTGTTGATACAGTTTTGCAAAATAGGTACCAGAGGATGCGGTGGGGAACAGTCTAAGTTCTCTTATACAAATGTCACCCCAGGACAAACCTAGTTAGATTCCTAACAATAAGAATACACTTGGGTATCAAATTTAGTGTCTGAAGAAAGTTATGGATCTTTTCCTTGAGTGAAAGGCTGACTAAATATAATAATGAACAAAGAAATACAAGAGATTTTTCCTGCAATTCCTCCACATTGTCATTAGGAATTATCACACCTATTTTATCATAAGACAAAAGAGACCCCATGGAGCTTCTGAGCTCCTTCAATCGTGTGAAGACACAAAGAGAAGAGAGTCCTAAACCCACCATGTTGGTTCCCTAATCTCAGATTTCCAAAACCCATCACTATGTCAAATAAATTTCTGTTCTGTATAATCTATTCAGCCTGGTGTATTTTTTCATAGCAGTCAAAACTGAGTAAAAGATCTCTGATAACTGTAAATACATTCAAGATGACCCCAAAATGGAGCGAGATACCATGTTGATGGATTAGTAACTATTAATGTCAATTTTCTCCAAAAAAATTTTTTTTTTAATTTTATGCATTGTCAATCAAAATCCTGTCAACTTGTTTTGGTTTGGGTGAAAATTGACAAACTTGTTTCTATAAAAATGCAAAGGAACATTAAGAGCCAAGAAAAGGCAGAGAAAGTGGTCAACAAGATATCAAGATTTATTGCAAAACTATAGTAATTAAGTTAGTTTCAAATTAGTACAAGGGCAGATGAAAAGATTAATGAAATAGAATAGAGAGTTCAGGAGATCAGTATAAAAAAGATCACCTGGACTTAGGCAAATTTGACAATACAAAGTATCTTTTCAATAAACAATACTATGTAGATATACATGTAGAAAAAAGTGAATCTTGACCCTTACTTCAAATATGTAACTTGAGTTATATTGTAGATCTAAAAATGAAAGACAAAGCAAAAAGTTTTTAAAAGAAAATAGCTTCATGACCTGCGAGCAAAATAGAACACCAAATTTAATTGTTTACAAAGGAAAAAGTTAAGCTGGATTATTTTAAAATTAAGAACATCTATTCATCGAAAACATTAACAGGCAAAAGATAAGGCAAGCAAGTGAGGGAAATATTTAATATATACATAAAATTGATAAAATAGTCTTATCCAAAATAAAGAACTTCTGCAAATGAGTAGAACACAATTAAATGGACACTATAGAATATCCAAACAAATGGTGAGCTTAAGAAAATATAGTTAACATTATTAGCAAAGTAAAAAATGATTTAAAAGACTACATATGTTTGTGGGGTTATAAAATGGAGCAACCACTATAGAAATTGTTAAGTTGCTAAAAAAAAACCAAAAAAACAAAAAACAACAACAACAAAAAACAAACAAACCACAAATAGACTGCAGGGAATATATCCAAAAGAATTAATACAGCAGAGTCTTGAAAAGATGTTTCCATATCCATAGTCACAGGGGAGGAGCCCAAATGTTGATTAATAAATGAATGAATAAACAAAATCAAAATCTGTATATACACAGAATGGGATATTCTTCAGCCTTAAAAAGAGAATCCTTTCAGCCCGGACCGGTTTGGCTCAGTGGATAGAGCGTCAACCTGCGGACTGAAAGGTCCTGGGTTCGATTCTGGGCAAGGGCATGTACCTTGGTTGCGGGCACATCCCCAGTAGGGGGTGTGCAAGAGGCAGCTGATCGATGATTCTCTCTCATCGATGCTTCTGAGTCTCTATCCCTCTCTCTTCCTCTCTGTGAAAAATCAAAAAAAAATGTTTAAAAAAAAAAAGAGAGAGAATCCTTTCAAACACTACAACATGGATGAACCTTTCGGAAATGATACTCAGTGAAATAAATCAGTTGCAGAAAGAAAAATACTATATGATCCAACTTATAAGAGTTATCTAAAGTAATCAATCGAAGAGAAATGAAAACTGGAATGGTGGTTATCAGGAGCTGGGGTAATGGGAAAACAGGGAGTTATGTAATGGATATAGAGTTTCATGTTTGCAAGAAAAAAGTTCTAGAGATCTTCAAAACTATGTGAATGCATATAAAACAAATAACTATTTAAAAATCCATTGTATTGCTATCACTTGTATTTCCACATTTTGGCCCATGTTTAAAACCTACATCTGGTATTTTCACTAGATCTTTAAAATCTTAAGTAATTAAAGAGTAATCAACTGAACGGCAGAATGACTGGTTAGTATGATGCACAATTACCACCAGGGTGCAGGTGTTCAATGCACTCCCACAAGGGGAGTGCTGTCCAGCCAGAAGCGCAGAAGCAGGGCTCACAGCTGTGAGCACAGTGACCAGTGGTCGCAGCCCCGCCTCTATGGAAGCACTAAGGATGTCTGACTGCCTGCTTAGGCCCAATCCCCGCCGGATGTCCTGTCAGTTGGACATCCCCCAAAGGCTCCTGGACTGCTAGAACCCCACATCAAGTGCAGGAATCTCATGCACCCAGCCTCTAGCTATTTGAGTAACAGAGTTCTGGGTCAATACTACTGTTATGTTTGATCTTTAATAAATCCTATTAATTTCTAAAGATATAAACAGCACAAGCAAGTATCAGGGGCACAAATAATACTGCAATCAGATGTGGAGAGATAAATGAAGACCTGATGCTCTCAACTTTGAAAAGTGGGTTATAGAGGTTATGTATGAAACAGCCAGTTAATGATTTTCTCTCATCATTGATGTTTCTTCTCTCTCTCTCTCTCTCTCTCTCTCTCTCTCTCTCTCTCTCTCTCTCTCTCGCTCTTCCTCAATGAAATTAATAAAATGTATTTTTTTAAATGCGATAAGCAAATAATTGTAAACAAGTGATCCTGGACAGGATTCTGAATCACGACAAAAAATGTTTAATTTTTCCATAAAGGATGTTATTGGATATAAAACCTAAAGATTAGATATTAATCTTGTACTAGGATTAATTGTTATAAGTTTATGTAAGATTTTAATAATAGAAACTATGAAAGACAATTTACTGTGGTTAAGAAATACCCTTGTTTTGAAAACATACCAATGCTTTTATGATAAAGGCCATCTTGCTTACAAATCACTATTAGGGTATACAGGAAAAATAGGAGGAAGAGCAAAGGAGATAGAAGGCAGAAGAGGTAAAGAAAAAGCAAAGCATATGTGGTAGTACATTACATTTAGGAAATGTCAATGAAGATTATCTGAAAACCTCTGTACTATTCAAGCCACTTTTGCGTTAAGTTTGAAATAATTTCAAAATATTAAGTTAAAAAATATTGTTCTTGTGCTGGCCAAAGTTTTGGGACTTTGGTGTTCATGGTCCTCAGTATTGGAAGATAAGCTCCAGGACAGAGTGTCTGGATCAGTGGGGACATACATAGCGGAAGAGACAAACTACAGGCAAGTATCTGGATGGAAAGTACCAACTCCTATGATGTCAAGGACAGGCCTCTGTCAGGAACGATACAGGAATAGCAAAGAATAAGTCTTTGCATAAACCAAGGGTGAATTGGGAAATTTCTTGTATTGGAAAAAAATATCATTTCAGTTAAAGTAAATCTGTGGAACAATGAATAGTCAATGCATATTTAGGTTCAGGTAATATCCTAAGTAAATTAATGTGAATTAAAAAGTATATAAACGTAGAAAAACTAATGAGTACCCATATGCAAAATACTGTCAATATTAGGAAGATGTGCCCTAGCCAGTTTGGCTCAGTGGTTGTGGTTCAATTCTTTGTAGGGGCACATACTTGGGTCATGGGCTTGATCACCAGTGTGGGGTGAGCAGGAAACAGACGATGAATGATTCTCTCTCATCATTGACCTTTCTATCTCTCTCTATATATAAATGAAATCAATAAAAATGTATTTATTAAAAAAAATCATAGCTAGGAGGAACTCTGAAATCAAGTATGGGATGGCCAGAGATCACTGTTGGCCAACAAAACAAAACAAAACAAAACAAAACAAAGCCAAAACACCTCACCCATTAAGGTTATTTAAGGCTACCTATGTATAATATATTACAATAAAATGAACTTCAACCTTCGGGGATGTTTATTTCTTAATCTGGGTGGAGATTACATAGGTGTGTTCTCTTTGTACAACTTCACTGAACTGAACGTTTATGACTTGTGTAGTTTCCTTTTTTTCTTTTTTTAAATATCTTTATTGATTTTTTACAGAGAGGAAGAGAGAGGGATAGAGCGTTAGAAACATTGATCAGCTGCCTCCTGCACACCCCCTACTAGGGATGTGCCTGCAACCAAGGTATATGCCCTTGACTGGAATCGAACCTAGGATCCTTCGGTCTTCAGGCCAATGCTCTATCCATTGAGCCATTCCCAGTAGAGATTCTTTTATATTTTTTACCCTGCTACACTTGCCTCCTTGTGTTGAAAGAACGGGTTATTGCTTCTCTTTTTTAGGGGTCACACACAAAAAGTCTAGCAGCAAATTCTGACTGGACAGCAAAACTTAGTGAGCTACTCTTCACATTATTTTGCCATTTTCCATAATACTGTTTTCTTCTTTCCTAGAAATGTTTCTATTCCAGGTGGTCATTAACACTCTCCCAAAATCCTTAGCCTTTGACAGAGTCTAATACTCTTATTCTCTTCTGTCACTTTGCGTTTTCTCAGGGGCTAGTTATCTCTTCCCTTAGATTTGGATGGTACAGTCTCTTTGATCTACTCTGCTCTATTAACTCCTTACACTATACTCCCTTCCCCAATTGAGGTTTGGAGTAATGGCAGGAGCAGGTAGGAGAATTCGCATGGGCTGTATAGATAGCTCCTATGTCAAAGCAATTCACACTATTTCCCCCTAGATTTATACAATAACATAAACTTTCCCATTTTGTTTCCTTTGTTCTAAGACTCTGCCTAATCCCTGACTTGCTTGCCTTTGGCCTGTACCATGGTGCTACTTATATCTGTACCCAAATTTGACACCTGGTGTTCTGGTTGACTTGTGAGAAGACCATTTTATCAATGGTCTTTAGGAATAAAAATTAGGCAAAAGCTAATAAGTTGATGTTGTCAGTGATGCCAACTGACTTTTTTCACTTTGTTTTGTTATAAAACATATTGTCTGCTAAATACTATTAGCACTACTTTTATGTTAGCTTAGTTGCTTAGAGTTCATTTTAAAGGGAACTTTTTATTCAACTATCTCTATATAAAAGCCTAAGAGACCATTACAGCCAAACTGCCTGAACGACCGGACAACCAGTCACCATAATGCACATGGACCACCAGAGGAAAGACGCTCAGAGCAGGAGCTGCCCCCTGAGGGGTCAGTGCACTCCCACAGTTAACCTCCCATGGTACACGTGTGGGCTCGATCCCCAGTGTGGGGCATTCAGGAGGCAGTCGATCATTGATTCTCTCTCACCATCAAAGTTCCCGTCTCTTCCTTTCCCTTACTCTCTTAAATCAATAAAAACACATCTTAAAGAGCAAATAATAATAATAATAATAATAATAATAATAATAATGGCATGTGTAATTAAAAATGTATATTTATAAAAGAATCCAAACCATTATTAACAAATATAAGTCTGCACACAGACATGAAATCACACAATGTTCAAGTTTAATAATGAATACATGATAAATGCACGCTATGCAAGATGAAAGTATATTTGGGGAAATAAAATCCATTAGTTGAACATTTACTAGATATCTTATATTAAAATGATTTATCTCCATTTGCTTTAACCCCTTTTAAAAAAATAAATCCTGTATAAAGGATCCATATGTACGACTTAATTATTCAAAAACCTAATCCTTTCACTCAATTTTTCATTAAATTTCTATCAATATTTCCAAGGTGTGGGGTGAACAACTATAGCAGGCTATTAATTCTAATACTCAAAACTTTTCCATGCCACAGAAAAAAAAAAAGAAGAAAAAAAAAAGAAATCAATATTGAATACCACAGCAATACTATTTCAAGATAGCAATTCAAATTATTCAGATCTCAGTTTCAATGTTCCCCTCCCAGAGAGAGCTTTAACTGAATGTTCAATCATCATGAGAAACCCATGGAAAGTTCTCACTAATGAGACAAACAAAATAAGGAATATAAAATTGCAGTTAGTCTGTAGACTAAGCATATTAAATGATAGAAATTAAAAGCATAAAATTTGGAAAGAAGAATAAATTACATGATTGTACATCTCAGCTAGACAAGAGAAATAAATCGGAAAACCAGAAATATGTAAACTCTATGGCAGGAGCCTGCCAATTGATGTGTCTCTCTCATCAATGTTTCTATATCTCTATTCCTCTCCCTTCTCTCTCTAACATCAAGGAAAACAAAGTTTCATACATGGAAAAATCCATTTTGAGAAATGTATAAATACAAAATACTTACCCACTTAGCGACAGGACATCCACGAGAGCTTTTTGCTTCTTTTCCGGTATATATAACCTTTTCTATCCTTACTGCACTTCCTCTTTGCCCATACCTGAGTACAAAACACAGTGAAAAGAAAATACTTGTAATATATATTTTTAACATCTTAATGTGCACAAGGTATGGATTTGTAAAAGGTCAAAAACCGAACTCTGGTCATCATTTACTTTTGTTAAAAACTTGGTTTTGTGTGGCAGATATTTTGTTATATCCAGTTTTGTACTATTTCTACTATTATTATGCAATAATATTAAAAAAACAGAATATTTCTGAATTTATTATTTTTTTAATTTGGCGAAGACAGCCTTGCTTTTTGAGTGTCTTGCTGAGGGCCCAATGGCTGTTGTGATGAGAGGCTGAGCAGGGACACCAGGGAAGCGACTCTGGTCCTGGGCCCTAGGAAACATCATCTCATACTCCTCAAGGTGTTGTGTTCACCTCACGTTTATCCCAGAGGTAATCCCTCTGCATGGAGTCTGGCCCACAGTAAGGATTTTAACAGGGAAGCGGATTTCCTCACCTATTCTCCATGATTTCCCTGACAGCAGCAACATTTGGTCCTGCCCCAAGGTGCGTATAATATGGGCCTTTTTCTTTTTGATCTGTGGAAGGAATAAGATTATTAGACCCAGAGTTTTACAGAACTGCATAGGGGCAAGGAAGAACTAATTCATAATTTTGGTGTTTTTGTTTTGTTTTTTTCTTTCCAATTCAGAACAATGAAACTTGACAGGTTTTGGTAAGCTTCTGCCATTAAAGTCTAGGGCAATGAGCCCTGAATTTAAGTTTATTTTCCTAATGCATTCTTACCCTGAAAATCAGAGGAGGAAAATATCTTTTAAGATGTGGGTCATATCTGTTCTCTTAATTTCTCACTTTTATGAAATCTATTAATAATTGAGGTACAAAATTCAAATTTATCCAAGAACAATATACTTAAAAGCATGGTTTCAGAATCCCATTAATTGAGCCCAACTATTTCACCACTAAGGATCTGTTCTAGTCTACAATTGCACAATTATGTGTTTATAATGCAAATGTACACGAGAATGTTCCTCGCTACAATTATTTGTAATATTGAAAGAGAGTAAACCTTAACATCTGTCAATAAGTGATAGGTTAAATAAGTTAGAAGATGTTTATGTGGTGGAAAACAATAAAGCTATTAAAACAATAGAATAATATTTACAATCACTGAAAAAGAAATCTAAGAAATTATAAAGCAACATTTTTTATTTTTTCAATTACAGTATACATTCTATTTTTTGTATTAGTTTCAGGTGTACTAAAAAAAATCTAAGAATTCATGCCGGGACCGGTTTGTCTCAGTGGGTAGAGCGTCGGCTTGGGGACTGAAGGGTCCCGGGTTCGATTCCGGTCAAGGGTATGTACCTTGGTTGCGGGCATATGCCCAGTGGGGGGTGTGCAAGAGGCGGCTGATCGATGACTCTCTCTCATCGATGTTTCTAACTCTGTATCTCTCTCCCTTCCTCTCTGTACAAAAATCAATAAAATACATTTAAAAAAAAATCTAAGAATTCTTAAGGTAAAAAATTAAAACAAAATTAAAGTCAGTATAATGTTAATTCGTGTAGAAAAACTGAAACAGGCTTTATTTTTAGCAGATGTTTGCATCACAATTTCGTACTATTTGAATTTTTGTGAATTACAGATTTATTAGAAAACAGTGTTCTAACTTGGTCTCTTGAATCATGCCTAACTAGAATCACTGTGGAATTATTATGAGCCTGGGTGTACCCGCCTACACCAAAATGTCATCATTGAACTATTTTGATTGGGCACCAAATACAGTTTGGGATTAAATTCTGTGGCTTCTCTGACAAGGTCTATTAAATAGATTAATTTATTACTAGTTACCTAGAACACTGGTTCTTTTTTTTTTTTTTTTAACATTTTTTATTGATTTTTCACAGAGAGGAAGAGAGAGGGATAGAGTCAGAAATATTGATTAGAGAGAATCATCGATCAGCTGCCTCTTGCACACCCCCTACTGGGGATGTGCCCGCAACCAAGGTACATGCCCTTGCCCGGAATCGAACCCAGGACCTTTCAGTCCGCAGGCCGACGCTCTATTCACTGAGCCAAACCGGTCCCGGCTAGAACACTGGTTCTTAATAAAGGGTGAATTTTCCTTGGTGGGACATTTGACAATATTTTTGGCTGTGACAACTGGGCCAGGGTGTGTGTGTGTGTGTGCAGGCCAGCAATGCCACTAAACCGTGACAATGCATGTCTCCCTACAATAATTATTCCCTCTAAAATGCCAATAATGATAAATTTGAGGTACCCTAACCTAGATAGAGGCTATTACCCTTATTTTGCTAGAACATAATACCTCCAGAGAAATCCTTTACCCTTCCATGGGATGGTCCCACTTGGGATGATTTCTGAGTGAGTCTGCTTTTTGTTTCTCTTCGTTACTTTCCTATTTCTATAGAATGAGCAAATAAGCTCACATGTAATTATTGTGTTTTCCTAAAAACACAACTTCAGATACTCAATAAACTTGGATGCTTTGCTGTGACTCTAGACAATCATCCCATTGAAGCTATGCACATGGTAACATTAGACTTTCTCAGGTATATATAAACTCTACAGATCTTTTTCCTATTTGTCATGACATTCAGAAAATCCCTTTTACTATTTGACCTCAGATTTTTAAGCAACAGCTGGTGAATATTACAAACATAGACTGGAGTTTGGATGGCCTGTCTCTGAATTCTAGCTTAGTCCATTAGTACTGTAATATTTTTTAATGATTTTAAAATTTTTAGAGAGAAAGAGAAGCATCTATGTGATAGCAAGACATTGATTGACTGCCTCCTGCACACCACCTACTGGTGATCAAGGCCATGTATGTAGGCCAGCGGTAAACTCCTTAGTCAATAGAGCAGCGGCTTGTGACTGACCTAAGCAAGTGCCTTGACTGGTAATCAAACCAGCAACCTTTTGGCACACCAGAGGACATCAAACCAACTGAGCCACCATGGCCAGGGCGAACAACTCAATATTTTAAAACTCCAAAAGCTTTGCAAATTCTTCAACTAGTCAGTATTATGAATTTTTTCATATACTGTTCAGGCACACCCTTTATATTGCAGAGCATAAAACCAGAAGGCACAAAAAAGAAATGTCCCAGTTATAGTTCTTGACTGGGTGGTAGCAGTTACAGAAAAAAATGTTTACGGTCATTTGTTAGTTTGTAGATGATATATTTTATAATCTCTGTATGCATGTTATATCTCACAATAAAAAATATATTTTAAGCAAAAAGCTTTCAGGTTTGAAATCCTTTTGCACTCAACCACTGAGCCATGCCAGACAGGCATTTTTAAAATATGGGAATAAAGTGTAATAATAAAGTATAAAAGGAATTCACTCTTACGATATTCAGAATAAACAGCCTTGAGTGAAATCAGCTAATTTTCCACTTGAGAAAGTTTCCTGATTAGGAGTTGAATTTCCAATTTACCTGAGCAGCCATCATTAAAGGTCTGACAGAAAAATGTGTAATATAGAACTAGGTCGTCCACCTTAGCTAGGATATGAAATAGGGCCAAAGTGCCTCATTGTAAACCACAATAAACAAATCATGATTTGGTCATGACCGGTGGCAATGAAATGCAGGTAAAGAAACACACACACCACACACGTGCACTTACCACAGTTGCAGCTTGGCAATTCAGAATTTGTCGTGGTAGACACCAGGTTTCTTGTAGAATTAGTTAAAAAGTTCATGGCATAATTATGAAAATTGTGTGCATTTTCTACTGGGGCAACTTGGGATGCTCCGCCACTAGGTAAAGAGACGTCTTCTTCGTTTGTGGTAGAAACCACCGTGATCCCACCTGAACTTTCGACGTTTACATTTCTGAGAACTTGTCCCGGGTGTGAGGAGGGGGTCTCATGAGAGGTGCTGGGCAAGGCTGGCAGGCTCGGGTGCATGGGCTGGTCTTCACCATCTTGCTGGAACTGAGTTTGGTCACGGTCAGGCATCACATTAGCACACTGGTTAGTGAGAGACGAGGACAGGAGGCCAGGATGAGCTTTCTGATGGACGTTCACCACGGGGTGTACCGGGGAATCAGGAACTTCTTCTTTAAACGCCTGCCCATTGGATTCTGTTTGTAAATGGGATGTGGAGTGATCAACGTTCATCATTTCTTCCCGTTCTAATTCAGAATTTCGCTGGAATTTGATCTGAGCAAGTGGAGGGAAAAAGTACTCGTATTTGATGGCCAACTTTTTCGGGGTAAGTGGTGCCCGGACTGGGGGTACAGGAGGAACTTTCCCCAACAGAAGAGGGAAATCACGGGGACCGAACTGCCCAAATCTTTGAAATTTGGACGCTATCCAAATGTCATGTAACCTATTATACTCGGATGACAACTGCTCCTGCCTTTTCTGAGCATTTTCTTGACAATTTGTGGCTGCAGGCTTCTTCTTCCGCCGTTCTTTGGATGGGGTGGATTTTGTCTTTTTCCGGGTTTTGATCTTTTGCTTTGTCGATGAGCCATGGTTATTTTTTACACTGGAGCGTGGTTTCGCTTTTATTTTGTTCTTCTCCTGACTGTGTCTTTGCACATTGTACACAAGGTTTGCTGATGTACTTGCTTCGCTGGTTTCCTCTGGTTTTGGACATCTGAATTTGATGACTGAGGCAAGTTGTGTTAACTGTGCGGCAACATCTTCCTCTATTTGACTATGAACTGTATCTTGACACCATGATGGCTCATCCTTTATAGCTAACGTGCGGCTGCTGTCCAGTAACTGACTGCAGGACCCCAATTCACCACTTGGTGGTGGCGACTCGTGCAAATTTTCTGAACGGCTGTCTTGAGTACTACAATTTTGAGCAGCATTTTTACTGGTGTCAATTTCAGGTGAACTGGAATTTGGTGTAAAAAGAGACGTGGAGTTTTCTTCATTTGAACATTCCTGTGGCTCCGTGGACACTTGGTCAGTAGCTGCGCCGCCGCCGTGTGACGTGGAGACGTTACTTTGGCCATTGAACAGCACCGTGTTGCATGAACCCTGCTTTTCTACAGAGGGACCCTGGAAAAGGCTGTGAGGTCCCCCCTGCAAAAACCGTTCTTCGAGGTCCTTGATAGAACAGAATAAAGCTGTATACTTGGTGTACTTATTAAGCACACCAGCTGACATCTGATCGTTTTTTTTGTCCTCCTCAGACTTGGATGGTGAGGCGTTTGCTGCGGGGGTTCCGGAAAGCTGAGCCAAAGCTTCGATCACATCCACCTGCTCCTGCGTTAATGTCCTGTCCATCACGAGGGATAGAAGATGTTGTTGAACTGGAGATCCATGATTTGGTTCTGTACTTGGTATATTTTCTAGAGGTTTTGGTTGCTCCCTTGCCGTGGGTGTACCAGTAGGGCTGGTGCAGCTGAAGTCTGCGGGATCAGGAAAAGACTCTGAGTCAGGCTGCTGGAAGACGGAAACATCGCTTCTGCCCGGAAGATGATCGCGTGCGTTGGTAGCAGCGGAGCTCATGGCATTGTTCTGGCTGGCCGAGTCTACCAGGGGGTCACAGGAATTGTTCCCAGACACCTTGTCACACTCTTCAATGCTGAATGTTCTAACAGACACCTCTGTTTCCGTGGGTATGTAGTGTACATTTTCAATGCCATTTGTTACCGTTTGTGCAAACAAAACTTGAGGCTCGGGTAGGACTTCGCTCGGGTCATCTTCAGAGTTTCCCAGTTTTCCCCCTTCTGTCACAATCGCCTTCACCTCTCCTTTGACTTGATCTGTTAATTGGGATTTCTTGCTCTGCGTCCACTTCTCCACTTCAATGCCTGTCATACTTCCGTCATTTTCAGTTACATTTTCAGGGGGGTGTGAGTTCAATTCCAATCTTTTTTCTTCCCCATGACCACATCCACTGTAGTCCATGGATACTGACTCGGGGCCATTGACTATTTTGTTTTTAAAATCTGCCTGTAAAACAAACACAGCAAATATGCATATTACCCATTTAAATCTTTCAATAAGAGCCACTGGAACTGAATCCCAAGAATACAATGTTGAATTTTCCTTCCAGTCATCATTCCAGTGCCAAAGGCAAACCATTGCTTTGACATGGTAGATTTCTTTTGCTTATTATCAAACTACATAACTGACTGCCTTTCACTCAAAATTATTTTTGTGAGATTTACCCATTTAAATACCTCAATACGAGCCATTGGAACTTCACAACTTGTTAAGAACACTTGTAATTCATGGTTTTGTATAGTAATTCGTTATGTTGACCTTTCAATTATAGAGGCCCATTTAAGTTGTTTCTAGTTTTTGACTATTACAAGTATACTCCTGTAGTTTTATTATATGCATTGTGTGGAGTGAAAATGCTGGGTGCTAGAGTGGGTGAGTATATCTGTATATCTTCAACTGTAATATAATACATAGGGCAAAATTTTTTCTAAACTGGTTATCAATACACTTTCAGCCAATAATTACGACAGCTCCAATTCTTCTACACTCTCATCAGCAATTAATATTTTCCGTCTTTTCATTTTGGTTATTGTGTTGAGTTGGTAGTTATACAATTCCTTTGAAAATTTATACTGAGATAAAATTCTAATAAAATAAAATTCAATGCTACCTTTTCAAACTGTACATTACTGTGGTTTATAGTACATTCACAATGCTGTGCAAAAACTGACTCTTATCTAATTCTAGAATATTTTCATCGTTGGAAGAGAAACCTTATACCCATTAAGAAATCGTATTCAAAATGGCTGACGTGTTTCAGTGTTTGAGCATCATGGTTCTATTCCTAGACAAGGCACATGCCTGGGTTGCAGGCTCGATCCCCAGTGTGGGGCGTGCAGGAGCAGGAGGCAGCTGATCAATGATTGTCTCTCATCACTGATGTTTCTATGTCTCTCTCTTCCTTTCCCTTCCTCTCTGAAATCAATAAAACAGTATTTTTTTTTCTAAAAAAAAGGACATGATGATGATTGTATAACCTTACTAAAAGCCAATGTATGAAATTTTTAAAACAACGATGTCAGGGGCAAATAGAAAGGTAGCTTCTATACTGTTAACATTTAAACATGGCACAGGATGTCCTACTCAATGCCAAGGTGAGAAAAAAAAAATGAATATAACAAATTGGGAGATGTATTGTTCAAAAAAAAAGATGATACAACTGATTCCAGAGAAACCAGGAGCATTTATTAAAAACATACCAGAATTCAGAATTGCAATAGTTATATTCAGAATATAAAATATGGCCAAAATCGGTTTGGCTCAGTGAAAGGTCCCAGGTTCGATTCCGGTCAAGGGCATGTACATTGGTTGTGGGCACATCCCCAGTAGGGGTTGTGCAAGAGGCAGCTGGTTGATGTTTCTCTCTCATCAACGTTTCTAGCTCTCTATCTCTATCCCTTCCTCTCTGTAAAAAGTCAATAAAACATATTTTTTTAAAAAGAATATAAAATATGTAAGCTTTATCCAATTGTATCAAACAATATTAAACAATTTTAGGAGAAAATAACTATATCTGATTCTTTCTCCTTTTCTTTTTTATGTATATTTTATTGTTTTTTACAGAGAGGAAGGGATAGGGATAGAGAACTAGACACATTGATCATGGAGAAACATTGACCAGCTGCCTCCTGCACACCCTTACACGGAATGTGCCCACAACCGAGGTACATACCCTTCATCAGAATTGAACCTGGGACCCTTCAGTTCCCAGGCTGATGCTCTATCCACTGAGCCAAACCGGTTTTGCCTATCTGATTCTTTTTTAAAAATATATTTTATTGATATTTTACAGGGAGAGGGGGGGATAGAAGGTTAGAAACACTGATGAGAGAGAAATATCAGCTGCCTTCTGCACACCTACTGGGGATGTGCCCACAAACGAACGTACATGCCCTTGACTGGAATCGAACCTGGGACCTTTCAGTTCTCAGGTCGTCGCTCTATCCATTGAGCCAAACCTATTAAGGCTAATTTTTTAAAATTTATTAATTTAACAGATTGAGAGAAACATTGATTTGTTATTCCACTTATTTTATGCATTCATTGGTTGCTTCTTATATAACATAGAGACTAAATAAAATTAGAAATGAAAATGGTGAAGTAACAACTGATACCACAGAAATACCAAGGATTGTAAGAAAAGACTATGATAAACTATATGCCAACCTGGACACAATGAACAAATTTCTAGAAAAATACAATCTTCCAAAACTGAATTAGAAAGAATAGACCATAACAATTGATGAAATTGAATCAATAATAATAATAATAATAATAATAATTAAACTCTCAGCAAACAAAAACCCTGATTGGAACAGCTTCATAGGGGAGTTGTACCAAACATTCCAAAGAATTAACACCAATCCTCCTCAAACTATTCAAAAAAAGAAATCAAAGAGGAAGGAACACTTACTTCTAATTCTTTTTTTTATGAGGTCAGCATTATCCTAATTCCAAAACCAGATAAAGACATTACAAAGAAAGACATTACAGGCCAACATCCATGGGACAAGGATGCTAAAATCCTAAACAAATAGTAGCAAGTCGCATCCAGCAATATATTAAAAGGCTCATGCCTGGCTGGTGTGGCCCAGTGGTTCAGTGTCTGCCTATGAACCAGGATGTCAGGGTTCAATTCAGGACAGGCCACATGCCTGGATTGCAAGCTTGATCCACAGCCGGGGGTCTGCAGGAAACAGCTGGTCATGATTCTCTCTCATCCTTCATGTTTCTATCTCTCTCTCCCTCTCCTCCTTTTCTGAAATCAAACTATATATATATATATATATATATATATATATATTTTTTTTTTTTTTAATTTTTTTAAAGATCATACAACATGACCAACGGGGATTTATTCTAGGGATGTAAGACTGCTACAATATTCGCAAACCAATAAATGTGATACATAACATAAATTCAAAGACTAAATCACACGATCGCATCAATAGATGCGTTCAACAAATTCCAACACCCATTTTTAATAAAAACTCTCAGCACAGTGGGAATAATAAATAGTAGAGGGCATGTACCTTGGTTGCAGGCACATCCCCAGTGGGGGGTGTGCAAGAGGCAGCTGATCAATGATTCTCTCACATCGCTGTTTCTAACTCTCTATTTCTATCTATTAAAAAAAAAAAAAAATCGCCGAAACCGGTTTGGCTCAGTGATAGAGCGTCAGTCTGCAGACTGAAAGGTCCCAGGTTTGATTATGGTTGCGGGCACATCCCCGGTAGGGGGTGTGCAAGAGGCAGCTGATCGATGTTTCTCTCTCATCGATGTTTCTAGCTCTCTATCTCTCTCCCTTCCTCCTCTCTGTAAAATATCAATAAAATATTTTTTTTGAAAAAGACACATTTTAAAAAAAGTCAATAACATATATTAAAAAAAATAAAATTGATCCAACAATTACAGTTGTATGAGCAAGGCCTTCTGAAGAAGACGAAGATAAAGACGAAGACGGAGGAGGAGACGGAGGAGGAGGAGGAGAAAAGAAAACCGTTGCTCTTGTTCTTGCTGCTCATAGTGAAACTGTGTTCATAATGAAACCTGCCACCCACAGTGAAACTGAGTGGCCAAGTAAATAGATTTACCACTACTTGGGGGGAAATCCAAATTCAGGCCATGACAAAAAGGAATGGCAAAACATGACTAATTAGTAGTATGGTATATGAAATGTGTAAAGCGGTTACCTAAAAGAAAATGAAATTAATAAGCATGGAATAATCAAAAAGCAGTTTTAAAAATATTCAACAAGCCCTTAGGACAGAGTACCCAGAGACCCAATGAGGGCGCCCCTTACCCAGCCCCCTCTTCATTTAGGATCTCCTTGCTTTCCAAGGGCCCTTCTCCTGCCTCGGTAAATTCCTCCCTAAACCCATGCAGCCCAGCTGCTCACTTCCTCCCCGCTCACTTCGTCTACTCCGGTGGCTTTCAAAATAACATTTTGCTTGTATTTTAAAATATATGTGTAACATCATCATATTTTAAAACACATCTAGATAATGTCTAAACATTTATTTTTAAGTATGAGTGTTGAAAAGAAACCAGCTTAATTGCTATCTGTTCAATCTTGAACGCTAAGATGGGGAAGGGAAGAGCAATCCTGAGAAATTATGTCAGCCAGGTGATGACGTATTTTCTTTTTATAAGGGATCATATAGATTGTGATGGAGATTAGATAACGTGACAAAAATGAGGTTTTGTGACCTAACAATTTCATGAATGTTAGCCGTGTATAACACTCATTTAATTGTCACCACCAGGCTGAGGTCAACACCAAAAAAGTGCTCAACCTGAAGAAAAATGCAAATGAAACTAAGCTATTTTTTACTGATCAGAACAGCAAATACATAAAAGTTTGGCCATGTAGGCCCATCTCTAGTAGACTAATTCAATTGTGATACAGCTATATAATACCTTGCAGCAATCAGAAAAACACAAAAACACAAAAACAATTCCATTGCAGCAATCAGAAAAACAACAACACAATTCCATCGCTAACAGCCAGGATGTACAGGATGTATTGGAAAAGATAGAGGACCTGTATATGCAATGTTTGCTTTCATGTAAAAAGTGAAGGGAAATTATATATATTCAGATTTGTATAAAGAAACTCAGAAGAATCACAAAAGAAACTAACACCAGTGATGGATAGGAAGAGGTGAGAAGCAATACTCAACACTGAGAGAACAGAAGGTGCTTGGGTATCAGAAGTCCCAGACTGGATTAAACTCTGTTAATATTTTAACATATTTCCTTTAACATTATACAAAAATTGATTAAGCTCTCTATGGGAAGATTCCAAGGGTATATAGTGAGTGAAGACAAGCTAAATGCAGAGTAGTTTATGCAGTACCGAATTCCAAAGTGGAGCAGAAGGAAAAACGGGATGCAGGGATACATATATGTCAATTGGCTAATACTTGTGTAAAATATGTCAGGAC